CTTGTCTAGCAGCGTTTCTTGTTTATATTTGGGAGAAGTTCGTTACAAGGGGAAAGCGGCCTTCAATTTAAAACAGCTTTATTTCGAATAAAGAGCGTGGTAAATTCTTCAAAGCTAAACTGGTGATTTCTTGCTACCTTTGTGAAATGGGTTTTGTAGCTTTTTACAGCAGTTTCCCAGAGACCGCCCATATGAGGAGCATACGGTGAGATAAACTGCCATGAGAATCCGTAGGTTGCGTATTTTACGGCAATATCAGTGGCCGTTTCTTTAAGAAACTGGGAGAATTCTCTTTGCATCGTTCGCTGCGCACCTACGAAAGTCTTTCCGTTGTCGGACATGATTTTGTGGGGGATTCCACGGCGGCCGACAAATCGGGTAAAAGCTGCCTTGAAGGCTTCATTGGTCAGATTTGAGCATAACTCTAAGTGTCCTGCTTTAGTAGAGAAGCATACAAATACACACATATACGACTTTGCGTGAGGAGCTCGTCGGAGGGTAAATGTTTTTACAAGAAATGGTCCAGCAAAGTCAACACCTGTGGTATGAAAATGGAGTGTGTAGGTGGATCGTTCAGGTGGGAGCGCGGCCATGACCCGTGAATGCATCTTTTGTTTATAGATTGTGCAGACCTTACACTGAAAGATGCATTTTTTTATCTTTTGTTTCAGCCTTGGGATATAATATTCTTGCTGCACCGTTCGAATCATTAATTGTTTGTCAGCATGGAGAAGAGTTGTATGCAGGAAATCGAGCAGTAGAGCACAGAGCTGTGAGTTTTCTGGGATTATGATCGGGTGGCGCTCATTATAGATAAGCGCTGCATAAGTTAATCGACCGTTCACCCGTATGATCCCTGATCTATCCAGCATCTGGTTCAATGTAAGCAGAGTGCTTTTTTTTCTGATGGGTCTAGATGCGGTAAGTGATCGAATCTCATCTGCGTAGTACATAAGCTGAGTTTGTGCGATGATACGTTTTTTCGCTTCGGTTATTCCGTCATGGGTCAAAGTGAAGCAGGAACTGCGCATTTTTGCGATTTGTTGACGAATCGATAAATGAACGCCATTACTCGCAAGGCGCGGGACAAGGAAAAGAAACGGCCCAGAATATCGAAGTGCTCGACCATATGGAGCTATTCAATACGGCGTTGTTCTGAAGGGGAGGAGTGCGGAGAGGGTATTTTTGGCCACAATGTGGGGGGATTTCGTAGCCACTCTGGGCCTTTCCACCATAAAGAGCACGTAGCAAGGTCATGGGGTTGACCTCCGCGTGTACCAAGATCAGCTGGGTTATCTCCACTCGAGACATGTCGCCAGGTATCATTGCTCACATTTTGCAGGATTAGGGAAATTCTGTTAGCGACGTAAGTTTTCCGCGTATGTGGTGGTTTTTCCAACCGTGCCAACACAATGGATGAATCGGACCAGAGATATAGGTCATGAGCTGGTAGATCTAGTTGGGAGCAAAGTTCACTCACTAATTTCGAGAGCAGCACTGCTTCGCATAGTTCGAGCTTAGGTAAGCTTACCGTTTGCAGAGGGGCCACTTTACTTTTTGCTGCGAGCAGATGTGACGAGAAGGAGTTTTCGTCATGTTGCACTCGGAGATAGACGCAAGCACAATACGCCTTTTCAGAGGCATCTGAGAATCCATGCATCTGAACAGCTTGCGTTGGAGAGAATTGCACCCGACGGGGAGTGATAATCTTATTAATCGCGGGTAATTCTCGCGCAGCATACTCCATTTGTGATAAGCGCCGGGTTTTACATGCTCGTCCCATTCCGTTCCTTCCATCCATAGTTGCTGCAGAAGCACTTTTGCGGAAATCATTATTGGCATTAGCCATCCTCCCGATGAAACAGTTTCGCTACCGCCGATAATATTTGCCGCTTTGTCCTTGAGTTAGCCGCGGATAGAGGATCGTATGTGTAGAAGAAGGAATCCGTGAGTGCGTTCCATTTTATACCTAGAGTTTTTGTAGAGCTAGTGGCCTTGTCGGCCGCTGTGGTGTTGTGGTAAGCAGTGCGCGCTTCCACTCCGCAGGATCGGGGTTCAAACCCTGGTCAAAGCAACATCGCAAAAAATGTAGAAAAAAGGCGGACGCCCCTCGGCAGTCAATGCCAACCTCCGAGTGTATTTCTGCCATGAAAAACAGCTTCTCATAAAAATACAATCGCCGTTCGGAGTCGGCGTAAAACTGTAGGTCCCTCCCTTTTGTGTGACAATATCAAAGCGCACGCCACAAATCGGAGGAGAAGCTCGGCCAAACACTAACATTTGTGTAAGCGCCAATCTATTGTTATTATTATTAGTGTCCTTAAACTGGAGAAAATCAACATCAAGGACCTCGGAATCAGGGGCTAATTCCAGGTTTTTTGGGTGATTTGAGGTGATTTTTCGTAGTGGGAAGCCTGCAGATTTTAGGGCGTCGTTAACTTGGGTTAATGATCTTATTGTGGACTATATATTGTGCCGCCTGAGAGAATATCGTCCACGTATGTTTCACGTAGGAGGATATTGTTGGCGAGCGGGAATTCATCTTGACAATCCTGCGCTAACTGATAAAGCATACGGATTGCAAGATAGGGAGCGCAATTGACGCCAAAGGTGACTGTTTTCAGCCTGAAATAGACATAGAGACAGAGTTTCACAGGGCAGTTTTGAAGAACATAAATATACAAGGATGGGGTCCCAATTGCTGGTCGGGATTCCTTGTGCTAAGTGGGTTGAGAGGCAATTGTTGATGGTGGATTGAACTTTTTGGATTTGCTCACCACTTTCTGTATATGTGTTACCCATTTCTAAACGTCGCATTGCCTTCTCGGCCATACCTAACCTATATGTTAATAATAAGTGTCTTAAATTTGTATCTAAAGTGACGAACCTTGGTTTTGTAATTAATTCTAGTCTTTCCTGTGATGATCACGTAAACTTCATAATAATCAAAGTTTTTATCACTCTACGTAATTTAAGAATGTCTTCATGCTTTACGCCGGTCGACATCAGGAGAAAACTTGCAATACAACTTGATTTTACCTATAATCTGTTATCCTGAATGTATTTACAGCAAACTTAGTTCTCAATCTGCCCATAAAATTGAAGTAGTTTTCAATCACGTTACACGCTATGTATTTGGTTTGGCCAAATTTGATTCGTGAGATAACTGAGTATTTGAAAGCAAGGAATTGTATTTTTCTATTCCGTTTAATGTTGGATAAGCTGCTGAAACTAAACTTTGAAATAAAGATAAATATGAAGAAATAAACGATAACGATGAAGACAAAAAAAGAAGGCAAAAGTGAAGTTAAAGAAGAAAATGGAGACAATGAGAAATACATAAGAATTAGGGTAACTGAATTGAAATTTTTCGACCGGGATCGAAATAAATTCAGTCATAAAAGTTACCGAAATTTATAGAATGATCGAAGTTTAGAGTTATCGAAATTTATCCATGCTTATTAAGTTATCGCAACGTATCGAATTATTCAAATTGATCAATGTTTATTGAGTTGTCGAAATTTATAGATACAGAAGCTTAATTGTCGAAATTTACGGAAAGTTATCGAGCTTTAAAAATTTATGGGATTATCGAAACTTGTCAAGTTAAAGAAATGTATCAGGTTATCAATATTTATTGAATTATCATTATTTATATCGTAATGCATCGAGTTCTTTCAGCTTACAGAGTTATCGATAATTACCCTGCAGTGAAAAGCCAAATCAGTTAGAAAAAATACTAGTTCATTAACTAGTATGTGCCTACCAGTTCGACAATTTCGAAGAACTTAGGCGACCAGCGACATCTGCCTTTGAATTGCCAAAGGCAAAAATAAAACGCAATTAATTGCTTTTCTTACAAATGTCGGCTGTGGCGTCACGTGAAGACTACTGGTTCTGGTTCTGAAATCGCAGGTTCGAAGCCGCTTGGAGGTAGTTAAGATTTTTAAAGTTAAATAAATGTAAGTAAAAATAATTTATTCAATTTATAAACAAATAACAAAAAATAACAAATTTGAAAATCTAATTGCGTTGCAAAAAAACATTTAGGAAGAAATATAAAAACAAAGAAATTAAACAAAAATATTTTTTTTTATTAAATTAAAAAATTACAATAAACAGCATAAACAAAAAAATAAATTTATAAAAAATAAAAATAAAATAAAAAATAGAAAAATTTTACCTGCGCCAGGATTTGAACCTGGGACCTCAGGCTTACCACGCGAGTGCTCTTCTCTGTCGGCCATTGTGACTGCTGGAGCGTCGCGAGCAAAAAGGCACACTTATGCTTTTCACGGGGCATGAATTGGCAGACTATCTCATCAACTGGTATGATGCTACTAGTATTTATACTAGTAGATGCTGATGCATAGCCTGACAATTGACATCTCGTAGGACATCGCAATGTTAAAAATACCGGTCGCTAACATTGAAAAAGGATAGAACGTGAACTAGTTCGTCTGAAACGCAAACCGGTAGAATTCTAGTTCACAACTAGTAGCTTTCCCTGCAGGGTATTGATCTACCGAAATTGGTCGATTCATCGAATCGTAGTTTATGGAATTTTCAAAAATATATATCGATTTATCGAAATTTCAATGTTTTATAAGTTTATCGAGTTATCACTGCTTATCGAATTTTATCGTGTTAACAGAGTGTAACGAGTTATCAAAATTTTTCAGAGACCATAACGATTATAAGAAATAAAATTAAATATTGCTCTATAATTACTACTGAACAATGGAAAAGTTGTTTTCGTCTCGCGGGACGATTATTGTAAAATTTAAATTATTTTCGTCATCTCATAATAATTATATGGGACTTTTATTTTTTTCGTCTCGCGGGACGTGTATTTCAAGACGGAAATTATTTTCGTCTTCTCATAATAATTATATGGGAGTTTTATATTTTTTCGTCTCTCGGGACGTTTATTTCAAGACGGAAATGATTTACGTCTTCTCATAATAATTATATGGGATTTTAATTTTTTTTTCGTCTCTCGGGACGTTTATTTCATGACGGAAATGATTTACGTCTTCTCCTAATAATTATAAATAAAAGAATGAAATTCTTAATTGAGTTCGGAGATTCGACGCGTTAAATATTTAACGCCACGATTGTTCATGTCATCAAATCTGTATCGTTCGTTCGATTTTCAAAAATGTGGTGTCAAATTAAAGGGCTTTGCTTTTACGTGGTTTTAAGTTAATGAAAAGGGTTGCCAGATGTTAGCAAATCAAATTCCAATAATCGAGCTCGGAGATATTTGCGTTTAATTTCGTGAAATCGGCAGTACATGTACCGATTCCATTAGGAGAAAACGTGGGACTAAAATCATTGTCGTCTTGAAATAAACGCCACGAGAGACGAGGAAAGTAAAAGTCGCATATAATTATTATGAAAAGACGTAAATCCTTTCCGTCTTGAAATAAACGTCCCGCGAGATGAAAATAAATAAAAGTCCCACATAATTATTATGAGAAGACGTAAATAATATTCGTCTTGAAATAAACGTCCCGAGAGATGAGAAAAATAAAAATCCTTACTAATATTATAAATCTGAAAGTGAGTTTGTTTGTTTGCTACGCTTTCACGCTTTAACTATAGGCGATTAGGCAAGAGGGCGTGGCACCTCCCATACAAACGGAATTTTTCATACTGCATTTCTCAGGGAATGTTTTTGGTAGATTACTGGAATCTGGTATGGAGGTATATAAAATCATTCTCTACTCATGGATGAAGGCTGTCACCTTTTAAAAAAATTTAATTCAACTTCAATTAAGGGAGTTATTTATTTGAAAATTATATTTAAAAATGGATGTCAAGAGGCTTAAAAAAGCTGTAGTTAAATATAGTTTGAAAAGGCTTGCCACCTACTCGAAAAGTAAAATTTAAGTTAATTATACGCAAGCCATCTGAAGAATTATAATATGGTTGTCAAACAAAATATTGTTAAGAAACCTTTAGTTTTAAAGTTTTGAATAATATTGAAGTCTTTCACAAGGGTTGCCACCTTTTTAAAAATTCAACTTAATTAGTTTAAATGAAATATTATAATACTAGCAGACCCGGCGAACTTCGTCCCGCACAAAATATTTTTTTTTATTGAAACTTTTTGGTCTAACATTTTCACCAGCAATTCACGTTTACGATTTCCATTGGCACGCTCATCGGCTAAGATTATGGTTTGGTGGTCGTTTTCCGCCTTAAATAACCTAACGAAAGAGTTATGTCCGTGATGAAGTTCTTGAAATTCTCTAATTGTGTAACATTTCATAGAACGGTTAATCTCACAACGAAATAAATTTCTTCTTCACTCCCTGGCGGCAACAATGATCCGGTTCTATAGTAAATCTGTCCAAAAAACTTTATCGTATAGTTGGTGGCAATTTCAAAATGGATGCGTATAATTGTTGTACAGAAATGCAATATACATAGACATACGAAATACCTTAAAAGTAAGTTTCACGAAAGCAATTTAAGTGAAAATAATGTTTTTTAGTTGAATTTATTACAGTAAAAGGCGCGCGATGGTTTTGGCGGTTGATTTATCGGTGGTGATTTGAGATTTACCCCTGCGCAACTCAACCCTGGTGTCTCAGAATGAAGCTTTAAGGCATAACAATACTGGCAAAAATCACATACATTGGGCCAATCGTAACACATAAAAATTCGATATACTCAATGGTGCCACAGGTTTATTTATTCTGACATTCACGGCACCTTTTCTAACTTGGCGATTATTCGTAATCACTTCAGCGCCACGTGGCAGCTCTTTTTTGCAATACCCTGCAAAAATCGCGACTACCCCATGCATGCGTGTAAAGAGTACTCCCTAAGGACCAAGGAGTACTCCAAAATTAACCACAATTCATATAAAAAATATGGTCCAATTAACATTGCGATGTCCTAGGGCAGGACCATATACTCCATCCCTGCATTACATCAGAGTAGCACAAAACTACTCCAACATATTAACAATGGCATTGTTGTTATATTTTTTCGTTTATACACGCTTTTGTTCTTCACTTCTCAAATGCTTTTTCGAAATTAATAAAAACAAATACAAATTAAAAATTACATGTTGTCAGAGGCATTCGAACCCGAACATGCTGGGAGCTAAGAACAAACAGCGAGCATCTCTACACGTTCAGCTACAGCCAGACATGCAAATGTGCTTTCAAATGCTCAACTTCAATCACGTTTCGTTAAAACACGAGCAGTGATCGGATAACAAACAATAAGCTGGCGCAGAGACACGAGCTGGTCCGCTACAGCATGTCAGAGGAACACTTTTGTAAGTACTCCAATTTACCACAAATAGACTACATGGTCCAACGATTTTTGCAGGGCAGTTTTGCCTTTACCATTACCAATACATATTTTGAATATTGACCAAAGTGGATCATCAATAAGATTTTTATATCCGAGCGCACTTGTGCACAAGGGTATTATAACTTTGTTCACATAACGGTTGTTTGTAACAGGCAAAACGAATCGAGATAGATATATACTACGTTTATACGCACAGAATAATCGACTTAATTAAAAGCGCATTGACACCGTACACATTTCGCTCTAGTGTTTATACTTACGGCTTTATATCGGCATCAAAGTAACCGTCTTCAAAAGCAACAAAATTAGCTATTTTCATTTGACATTTTATAAGTTAACATAGTGGAAAGTGATAAAAATCTAGTTTTATTCGGCATTATAAAATCGTGGCAAAGAAAAAGAACGATTACACAGCCACACAAAAAAAAATTTGTGTTCTGACCCAAAGGTCTCACTATGTGTACCTTATATTTTTGGGGTCGCTGAATCCGAATCCGAGGTCCATTTAACCCCATCAGTTCAGGGTTTTGATATAACCCCAGAAAACCAATATGGAGGACACATTTTGGAAAAATTCATCGGATTCGCTTGAAACTCGTTACTCGGGGGTTTTCGGGGTCGCTAATTACGAATATGATA